AGATATGATGAAAGAGAAATATATTTAGATGTCTGCTTTTGGCCAAGTGGCTCAACTGATAGATGAGTCATTAAATAAAACAAGAAATGTTTAAACAAATTGAGGAAGCTGGTCAACAGGAAGCTGCGGACACAGTTTCCACAACCTGTGTGAGTACAGACAGCTTTCTGTAATAAAATTACTCAGTCACGTGGTCTGGCATTCTTTTTGTTAGTACCTCTTATAATATTTGCATCAGTCATATTTGCTGTTGTGTCTGTTTGGTTTGAAATGATAACTAAATGTCACATTGATGTCACTCCTTACCTAACCATATTGATGAGTAACATCAATATGGATGTCAGGGGCCGACAGAACATCACACTGTAACAAGATGATCAGTGTTATTTACTTCACTGTAGCTGTGACTTCAGTGTTACTGTTGTGTGCTGAACAGAAAACCTTTCTGTATGATGTAAGGCTGCATCTTGCTTTAGATTTGTGTTTATAAATTTTTAAAAAATGAATTGTACTATATATTTGTAAAGTTAAAATACTGATAAATATAACAGGCAAATAGGATAAAACCTGAAGGCCTGGATGAAAATGTGAAATTGAAAATGTAATCATTAGTTTAATTTATTTATTTGCACCCTGATGAGACTGAGCTGACTTTCTTATTCACAGGAAGGTTTGTCTGTTCCAAAAGGTTGATTCTATTTATCTGGACAGAACAGAATTAACCTTTTTGGATTTACAGTATTTATCTAGATGACTGAGCATGCATCCAGACAACTTTGTGTATTTTTATAGTATTGAGAGTGCAAGTCTGAAAACCGAGAGCGAAAACCAGGAGTTATATAAAAATGCAAAGAAAACATTTTTGTGAGTAAAGTACAAAAATCCAGATCAAAACAGGCAGGAGAAAAAAACTGTGGAAAGCTGAGACACAGTCTCTGGGGGAAACGAGCTGCTCTATGTGCAAAAATGTTAATGAGAGAATGAAGAACAGGTTAGTGTGTGAGTGGAGGCTCCGGTCAGGTGAATCTAGAGGCAGGCGGGTGGGACTGGCAGCATCTGAAGTGAGAGCAGAGTGCACGAGGGGAACATAAAAAGCTGACTGACTGACTGAATACAGAAAGGCAGAAAACCAAAAGCACCGCAGGTCTGTTTGCTTTGACATTAAAACATCTAAACACAGAAGTGTTTCACTCACTGTGTTTCTGCTGGAATCACACATTGTCTCTCTCTGTAGCTGTGTGATCATTTGGTAAGAAAACATTTTTTATATCTTACTAAATTTTTATATCACACACTTTTAATCTGATTTCAAATACATGTAAATTTTGTATTGCTCTATAAAACAATGCAAGTTCCTGATTTGATCAAACCTTTAAGTGATGTTATATTTTTTTTCCAGGTGATGAGTTTTGTGACAGTCCAGTCTGTGAACATCATGACAGGCATCATGTTACTGAGTCTCCTCTTTATTCCAAGTGAGCCGTCTCATTTCAGTCATTTACAGTCTGACAGATCAGTGCAGATAGAGAAACTTTACAAAGTCACACAGTTTATACTAAAGCTGTTGAGAAAAAAGAAACACATCTGCTAAACTTAGTTTATCATAATTATGTTTTAGCTCATGTGTATTTGTGTATTTATCTTTTTTTCCAGGTACTTTGGCTGCTTGTCCACAAGATTCAAACCTGTTCATCACTGCACCAACAGAGGTGGAAGCTCTGAGTGGATCTTGTTTACAAATCCCATGTAACTTTAGTGAAACCGGAACAGAAAAGTTTGACAGCACAAGACCTGTTTCTGGAGTGTGGATTAAAAATCACTCCAATGTTAATACATTTCCAAACAATGAGATCTTCAACAGCAGTGGGACAGTTAACAAGTATCCAATGAATATTACAGGAAACCTGAAGGAGAAAAACTGCACCACTCTGTTTTCCAACTTAACCACAACTTATTCAAACACATACTACTTCAGAATTATGAACTGGCCGTTCAGAGCAACAGCTGCTTGTGATCCTCTTAAAATAACAATTAAAGGTGAGAAAGTTTTCTTTTCGTTGTCCAGGTTTTCTGAAAACTAAAATGAGTAATCAGATGCAGCTTTGGGTTAATCAACAGAAAGAACTAAAAGGTCAATTATTACAGAATTCAGTCTGATTATTCTGTATTTATTATTATCCCAGAATGTCTGTACTACCCTAATGATATCACAGAGAGAATCAAATACTACATCTTGTTTGATGTTTGACCGTTTAAAAAACAGCAAACAACATTACTGATCCATTTTTTCTTTTCTAACAGAGTAAAAAATTATGATTTTTTTCTACTGTATTTCCTGTGTTATCAGTGTGCAAACTGTGTCTGTGATGTGAAACCACAGATTCTCCTTGGAGGCCCAATATTACAATCCCAGGTGATCTGAAGGAGAAGGAGTCTGTCACTATAACCTGCTCAGCTCTCACTCCCTGTCCACACTCCCCTCCTCAACTCACCTGGAATCTCCAACAAGACTCTCACAAAAAAATAGAGGAAAACACAGATGGAAGCTTTACAACTAAAATCCAGCAGAACATCACTCTGTCAGACACACATGATGGAAAGAAGATCAGCTGCTCTGCCAGATATCCTGTGAACCAAGGAAAAAACACCAAGACAGCAGAGACAGAAGAGACTCTCAGTGTTTCATGTAAGACAATCAGAGCTTGTTGTTGAACTGAATCCCATCGGACAACATGATTTATGTTTTTCTCTCCAGATGCTCCTAAAGACACCTCAGCATCCATCAGTCCATCAGGTTTGGTGTCAGCAGGCAGCTGGGTGAACCTGACCTGCTCCAGCAGAGCCAAACCTCCAGTCAGCAGCTTCACCTGGTTCAAGAAGAGCAGAGATGGAGCTGTGAAAGTATCTGAAGGAGAGATTTACAGCTTCAATGTAACAGATGGAGGAGTTTATTACTGTGTGGCCACTAATGATCTGGGTAATCAGACATCAGCAGAGATTCGTGCTGGTAAAGACAAACCACATCACCAACGTTTTACACACACAACACACATTAAATCATATCTTTGATTACTGTTTAATATCATTCTTTTTTTCTTTTTTTTCTATCAGGACAACAGAATAATGGTTCTTTACCACTGGGTCCACTTCTTGGAGGCATCCTTGGGTTCATCTTACTGATCTGTTTGGTTATCTTGGCTTGGTAAATATCACACATCAAAGCAAGAAACATGATCTGCTTTCCCATCAAGCTCAACTTTACTCACATATATATATACATATACATACTCACATATATATATACATACATATACTCACATATATATATACATACATATATATATATAGGGCAGCACGGTGGCACGGTGGTTAGCACTGTTGCCGCAAAGCAAGAAGGTCCTGAGTTCAATTCCACCATCAGGCCGGGGTCTTTCTGTGTGGAAATATATATATATATATATATTTAACCTAAAGTTATCTAATATTTAAATGTCACTCATGTCTTCCAGGTGCTTAAAGTCAAAACATGAAACTCAACAACAGACTCAGGTAAGAAAAAAAAAAAAAAAAAAACTAATTGTAGATTACCTGACTGTTCAGGTGATTATTTACAGTAGTACCTGCATCCGTGCAGTCTGCTTACCAGATTTATATGTCACAGAACTTTTTATTTGATTCGTTTTACAGACTGAAGAGCTGGTTGTCGAAGAGTCCACAGGTAAAACAGAAGAAGAGGAAGAAAACATCCATTATGGAGAGATCAACTTCTCCACACTGGGATATGAAGTGCCCTCTGGCTCAATGCAGGACAGAGGACAGCAGCAGGATACGGTGTACGCACAGGTGAAAGTCAACAAGCCAGAAAACAGCTTAACACAGAGTGCTCATGGCCAAGAGGAACTTTATGCTAAAGTGAAGAAAAAATGAGAAGTATCAGTTAACAACCTCTGAACAAAGAAAGAAACGTGGAGCCACGAGTTCACTGAAATAGAACCAATTACTTTGTGCAGTCTGTTTTATGTCCATGCTTCTGTACCATGTTCAGGCAGCCGTTTGCAGAGGATTTCCTGTGTTCACATTAAATCCATGAGCAGAAGCTGCACCAGTCAAGGAACTAGTTGACTGGGCCACACGAGTATTTCTGAAAAGGAGAAACTCAAAACCTCCTCATATTGTATGTGTTTGTTGTAGGACTTCATAATACAGCCCGTACCTTATTACCTAACCCGTTTTATTGCCTCCCGACATTTACTGAATTTCACGTGTAATTTTTTACCAACTAAAAGTACTTCCCGGTAGATACAGTAGAGCAAGGGAAGTAACAGGAGGTTATAAGGGAAGAAAAATATTATTTAGTAAAAATAACCTTTAGGGTATCTTACAGGAATGGACAATGTTCCTCTTATTACATTGTAATGACACAGTATTATCAGAGGTGTAGTCTGCATCAGATGTGTTTACAGATGGAGACGGCTTCTAAAGCGAGGAGCTTTGAAGTGCTAAAAGTACGTACCTCAGACCTGACAAGGCTGGAGCCTAAAGGGCCCGACTCTAAATAAAATATATGAAAAACAGCAAATATAAAGACTTGTTACTAGTAACATGGTGTTTTCATAGCTGAATCCTAGTTCTGATACTACTTTCTACGTTTGAATATTTTGCCTGTTATTTTTAGCTCTTCAGTGTGTAACTGAACTGTCAGTTGTAAAGAGTTCTTTGCTATTTAGCATTCAGTTCAGTCCTGTTGAAAAGATGACATTACCTTTTGTGGTAAGTACTTTTATCACGTCTGAAGTGTATGCATCCAGCGTTATTCATGCTGTTCACAGTTCAGTGACCAAACTTTCTACTTCTCATGTGGTTTTGTCACTTACGTTATCACACTAATGTATCTGTGTTGACATTGTGAGTGTGAAATACTCTGCATGTAATATTTGTCAACATTTTTTTAAGTGTTAGACTTGTGTACTGTGGGGGAAAAATACACCAGCCATTGTGTCTGCCTTGAAAGAGGTTTATTCATTGCACTGTAATAAAATCCTCGGCGTACAACTTCTACAAATACCTTATAATCTCAGTGACTTGAATTGGTCCAACGTTTCACGTACTGCAAGTAAACGTCGCTTGAAATCAAATCATGCGAGTGGCGAGATGAATAATGCATAGTGATCTTTGGCCTCAGTGAAAACCCGCTAAACTTTTCACTTTTGAACAGCTAATGCATTTTTAAGGGTTTTTTTTTTTTCATTTTAACATTAAAATGACATTTCATGAGAGCTGGATAATGTATGTGCATTTAGTGTATTTAACACCATCCCCGCCAATGATAAAATAACCCAGCAGTCAGTGTTTCAAATCATGTATAAAACAAAATCCTTTCTTCTGATGTGTACATGTGTATACATATACATATATATGTTAAGTGTTAAAAAGTGGTGATAAAAATAATCCTTTAAAATGTTATTTTAATGAATTAAAAATGTTCTGACTGCATCTTCTTTCTAAAAAAAAATAAAAAATAAATCTTTGGGCTTCAGCCTGTAAACATTTGCAGCCTGAACTCATTATTGTTAAAACTCTTAAAAGGCACCATTGGTTGCACTCCAGTACGATGTTCCACCTACCAACCCAGCAGCAGCCTCAAGTGTTATGGCAACAGTGTAAAATGATGTCCAAAAACAGAAGGTGTTGTACTGATAATCTCACATCTCAATTCTCTTTGCAAAGGGACAGGCAGGAGTCACTGACTGCGTTTTCATACACAGGGAAAGTTTGATATTCACATTATTGCTGGTTTTATGACTGAATCCTCAACATAAGATTCATTCTACCCATTTTTTGTTTATTTATTCATTTATAAATTTTTGTGTATGTAAACTCGGGTCACTAGTTCTGATTACACCTTCATGATGTGAATTCTGCTTCCTGAGTACCTCCCTCCCTGCTTCTTTGTTTACTTGCTGTCAGGAGGCTTTTTAATTGTGTACTCTATCCTCCAGTGCCTTGAGCTCAGCCTCCACCTGCGCTGGCAGGTCAGCGCCAACCTGCTGAGTAAAGTAGGCTTTCAATTCCTGGGTCTCCTTCTGCCAGAAAGGCTTGGGCACGTCAAACAGTGCGCCCATATCTACCTTGCTGCCCAGACCTTTAGTGTCGATGGCGCCATCTTGTGGCACCCAGCCGATGATGCTCTTTTTGGCTGCCTCGTCCTCTCTCTCTCTGCCGCAGCGTTTGAAGATCCACTCTAGCACGCGGGCGTTCTCACCGAAGCCAGGCCACAGGAAGGCGCCGGTTGCCGGGTCCTTTCTGAACCAGTTGACGTGGAAGATCTTGGGCAGCTGAGTGGGGGCCTTACGGCTCTGCATGCTCAGCCAGTGAGCGAGGTAGTCTCCAAAGTTGTAGCCGAAGAACGGCCGCATGGCGAAGGGGTCGTGCATGATCACCTTACCTGGAGGGAAAATGGAAAAGCAACTTCCTGATTATTTCATTATGTGAAAAACAGCAAAAGTAAAGAGACCGCTCCGAAGAGTTTCACAGAACTGCATCTCAGAAACATGTGAGGATCCGTACCTTTATGCTCAGCAGCTGCTGTGGCCTCAGACCTCATTGCAGCTCCAATAAATACTCCGTGCTGCCAGTTCAAAGACTCGTAGACCAATGGGACTCCTGACAACATCGACATCATGTGATCAGATTCAGTGCAAGCCTACTTTCTGCTACAAGTTATACTGCGCTCCAATTTTTATTTATTTTTTTAAACTTCATGCTGTTGTAATACACTCAAAAGAGAAAATACATCGTACTTCATGAACCATAAACTGCAATCAATGCTTGACTATTTCAAGCACTGCGAGTCCTATCTTGTGTCTCTATTAAAACAGTGACTCCCAACCTTTTAAGTCAATGTACCCACACAGGCCAGACCCATGTACCCGCTTTAATTTACCAATAAGTGTAAACCAGTAAAATACAGAGCCACCATATTCTCTTAATTTACATATGGCATCCTGAGTCAGTATGTACCCCGACTGATCCAACAAAGCAGACAGGAGTGTAATATATAATACATCTATAATTTCTCAAAAAAAACATTTCATTTCACTAAAGCTGAAAATGTTATTGATGAATGGTAAATGGCCTGTATTTGTATATGCTGTATATTGTATATGTTGTATATTTGTTCATGTTGCCCATGAACATCAAGACTGCACAGTTTCATTTTAAATGTGTTGTGGGTGTTTTTGTGTGGATGAACAGCCAAAATGTGATAATATGAATCCACCGGGGTACAAAGTGTGTTTAAACTTGGCACCAACCTTCTGGCCTCCTCCCACCAAAGATGATGGCATCAATGGGGACACCCTCCTCACTCTCCCACTGGGGGTCAATGATGGGACACTGAGCCGCTGGTGCACAGAAACGGGAGTTGGGGTGGGCGCAGAGTGTTGAGCTTCCTGTGTACAAAGAAGACAAACTGTTTGTTTGTTTGTTTGTTTGTTTGTTAACAGCTCGTGTTTTTAATGTCATGGTTAATGGTTAACTGCGTCTACTCTTGACTCTCGCAGTACTCTTGACCTACCAAAGTCAAGAGTACTGCAACCCCTGGAAAAAAACTGAAAATCTCATGGGGACACCCAATTATAAATCTTCACTCTCAAACAAAGAGAGCCATGCATTTCCTTGAAAACTGCATTAAAAACCTAAACAGAACACGTGTTGTTGCACAGTCATATGCAAAGTAGTATAACACCAATATGCGATCCACCTGCAACTGAGTAATGGTAAAAAATGGTAAATGGCCTGTATTTGTATAGCGCTTTTCTAGTCCCTAAGGACCCACAAACTAGCCGTCTCCTATTACCAGTTTGAATTCACATTTTTTTTATAAATGTGTCACTCTACAGATTTGTGAGTAATTTCAAACTGAATTTCTGAGAGGCTGATGTTGTCCAAGATAAGGACAATGCTGGATAAAACCTCCCACCCACTCCATGGCTTGCTGGCTAATCACAGAAGCACATTCAGTGACAGACCGAGATTACTCAAATGCACCACTGAATGACACGGGAAATCTCCCCGTACAACTCCAATACTTACACCCTTTTGCACGTGCTCTACGGTAAAATAACACATTACGACGTTTCACAGATTAGAGTTAAATATCAATCATAAATTTAACCTCTGTAATATTCTTGATATTTATAATTGAGCAGTTTGTATACATATATACATTGTGCTATTTCTTAAATTTGTAAACATTGTAGTAAATTGTATTATTTAATTAGTTTAGTCTGTTGCTGTTACTTTCTTGGAGTAACTGTAACCCACATAATTATCTTATTAAAGTATTTTGAATCTGAATGTCAGTTAATACTGCGGCCCACCTGCAGTACCTTTGCAGACCACCAGGGGGCCGGGAATCACTACTTCAACCCAGTTCTAAATTTGGGACTTTGCTTTGGTTTACCAGCAGATGGTGCTGTATACACTTTGACTGTTAAGTACACTGATACACAACAACTGATGTCACCTCGTTTCCAGGTTTTGCCATGCCAATCTGTGAGCGCCATGTCAGCAGGAGGGGGGTCGAGTCCTTCCCACCACACCCCCCCATCGCTGGTTTCACCAACATTGGTGAACACAGTATTTTTAACAATAGTAGCCATGGCGTAGGGGTTGGTCTTGTTGGAGGTGCCCGGGGCCACGCCAAAGAACCCGTTCTCTGGGTTGATGGCCCTCAGTTTACCTACAGAAAGATTAGAGGGCTTTTTGTAACTACAGATTATTTTTGGATTACTAAAATGAAGTGAGTGCCTCACTCACCTTGGCTGTCAAACTTCATCCAGGCAATGTCGTCGCCTACACACTCAACCTTCCAGCCTGGTAGAGCTGGTTTCATCATGGCTAGGTTGGTTTTACCACAAGCGCTGGGGAAGGCAGCTGCGATGTATCGCTTCACACCCTGAGGACTGGTGATTCCTAGGATCTGAAGAGAGAAGAAAGAGGGAAATATTAATATTAGCAAGAATATAACTCCACGTTTTTAATAAATGTGGAAGGTGTAGGCTTGTAGTGTTAATGTTTTTAATTAAAATAAACCCTCTTTAATTCAGACTCAGGTCATAATCATTACATAGCATTCTAACCAGCATGTGCTCAGCCAGCCAGCCTTCATCTTTGGCAATGCGGGAGGCGATGCGCAGGGCAAAGCACTTTTTCCCAAGGAGAGAGTTCCCTCCATAGCCACTGCCGAAGGAGAGGATCTGCCTGGTGTCGGGCAGGTGGGATATCAGCACCTTTTCTGGGTTGCAGGGCCACGAGTTCACCAGAGGAGCTGGTAGTAAAAAGGAGGGAACAAATAAAAGGCAGGAAAATGTATAAAATTTTGCAAAAACAGATACAAATTACAAATAAAACTCGATTCAGGCTCTTGGAATCTGCACCTTTGAGAGGTAAAGGTCGCCCCACGGAGTGCTGACAGCGGACAAACTCCACTCCCTCAGCCAGTTTATTGAGAACAGGAGTGCCCATACGCGTCATGATACCCATACTGGCCACAACATACGGGGAGTCCGTCACCTTGAAGAAAAAATAACCTGATAATTACGCTGACCTATAACTTAGGAAGCCCAGTGATTAAAAAAAATAAAAATAAAAAGTACACACAAAATAAATTACAGCAATTCACTGGAAGAAAGCAGCACAGCAGGCTCACGTGTTTACTGCAGGTTTTTGCTGAGTATGAACTAGTGAGAGAACAATAGCTTTTACCTGGACACCATATTTGGTCAGAGCTGAGCCTACGGGACCCATGCTGAAGGGGATCACATACATAGTCCGGCCTACAGTGAGGACACAGATTAAAAACAACACATTGATGCAGTTATTTTAGCTGATGTAGAAAACAAGGTTCAAATCTAAAAGCTGAAGGTCACGTAGATCAAGCAACGGCACCGATATAGTTAAAGGTTGTAAACATATTTTCCTTGAGATCTTTGTGATAATAATTGTGAGCTATGCAGACTGCATGTCTAATATGATCAATAAGGTACACTTTTCTATACCACAAAGAAAAGTTGTTACACTGGCCAAGAATCCAAGCACACACTAGCTGAAAGAGTACAACATGTTGTTAGTGACCTGCAGGTGTTTAAAGTAGCCCCTCCCCTTATAAATACTTATGGGTCAGCTGCAGGTTAGCACACAGAGTGAGCAAGCAATCACACACCACTATAAAGACTAAAAAGCCCTAAAAAATAAATAAATATATATGGATCACAGATGTTCACCTATTACCTCACAGAATAATGACTGTTTCTCGAAGCTCACCTAAACCTTGAGGTTAAGGTGTGTACCTAAAAGCAGGATTTATAACACTGCAACAAACGTGGAAGCTAATCCTGTTCTAACAGGCAACAAACTCAACAGTGACAAGAAAAAAAAAATCTGAAGCAGGCCTCACAGTATTTTTTTTTCTTTTCTCTTTTTTAAACACCTCAGCTTATTTAAAGTTCCTGATGTTAAGTTGCTTTTAAAATCCTTCCTGTTTTTTAAAAGCATTTTTCAAACTATTCTTAAAACATTTTATTAGCATTAAAATGAAAATATCCCTTTTTAAATAGAATCCTTTAACGAGGTGAACGTGACAGTCAATTAAAACAGAGGAAAGGTGAAAATGCTCGGTCTCCTGGCAACAATGAACAAACATTTGACTTCCGTCCAATTACGTACCGGCCATGCTGCCAGGGAAACGCTCCTCTCTGGCTTTCTGCCAGTCAGACTCACTCATCCAGCTACCCAGCTGGCTTTTCACCCCTGCAGCAGGGATGGGGATCGTGTCTCTCTGCTTCTTGGTCACTATCACAGTCTTGCTCTCCACTCGGGCCACATCTTTTGGGTCTGTACGTGCCAACCAACTGCCAAATAAAACGTTTATTATTGAAAGCTCTCACAGCATGTTTCCAAATAACTACTTTAGGTGATTGCTTTGTTTTGTATGCTGTTCCATTATCTTTACCAGTTCTCATATTTGAGAAGCTTCTTGACCATGCCATCCCTCTCCAGACCTGCCAGGATGTTGGCCGTCTCTTCCGGCGTCCCAGTCACCACGTGTACATTGGTAGGCTTACACTCCTCCACAGCCCCCTTCACAAAGTCGGCCACTGCGGGTGGCAGCGACGGGATTGAGGCCAGAGATCGAACCCCGACGCTCGCCCCGAAACCACCCTTCCTGAAAGAGAAGGACAATTTAAAATCACTCTACTGGCGACTAGAAGAAAAATCCAACAAAACAGACTAAACACAACTCCAACCTGAAGAGATCAGAACTTCTTTAACAATAGTATTTGTTGGACTGAAATCCAATGTTTTTTCTTTTGCCATACAACGCATAAAATAAATAACTGACCAAGCTTAGAGCAGTGAATTTGCCAGGGGACAGCTGAGAGACATATCTATAAAGCAATCAAACGTCTTCCTTCTTTCATTCTTTAGAGTAAATTCCTGCAAAAACCTGCCACAAGAGACTAATACAAGGTGAGTCTCCTCATGTAATCTAGCTATTCATCCATTTTCTTCCGCTTATCCAATTCATGATCCAGGGGATGGGGGCAAACTACAGTGGTCCCTCGCTATATCGTGGTTAACCTTTCACAGCCTCCCTGTTTTGCGCGGGTTTTTTGTGTGTGCAATTTTGCATGCTTTTTTTTTTTTTGTAACAGTGCATTGTGTTCTGCGTCCTGATTGGCTGTAGACCATTGTCAATTAATCTCCATGTCCGTGTCTCCTGTACAGTACAGAATACGTTCAGCTTGTCAAATTTACATAAATCTTCTATGGCTAGTAGTGTGACTCCGAAGTGCTGTACTGTATGTTTGTATGTTTTCTCCCAAACACAACAATGTCGACAAAACATTTTGCACCGTCAAAGGCGCCTGCAGTAGCACCCAAAAGGCAGAGGAAGACGCTAACCATCCCACAAAAAGTTGGACTTCTGGACATGCTAAAGGAAGGTAGAAGTTAGCGTACCGGATTATGAGGCGCATTAAGCGAAACAAAACAGTCAGACATTTCAAACTTTACTCAACTCATTCTTCTTCCTTTCTCTACTTAATTTCCCTTAAGGATCAATAAAGTATTCTGATTCTGATTCCGAACTATTGATTCATTAATGCTGAATTCTCTCACAGCTGCTCTATTCCCATGTTCTGGACCAGAAAACAATGTTTGATCTTTGGTTTCATTCTATAATACTGGATAGGGCTGGGCCATATTATACCGTTTACGGTAATACCGGTACAATGTCAGGCAGCGATAAGAAAATGAAATATCACGATAGAATATGGGTAAAACGCGCATGCGCAGTGCCTTTGTTTTCATACGCACATGGCCGAAAAAGCATGGCGGCAACGGAGAATGAGAAGGGAGAAAGTGGATCGTTGAGTGAAATGGATGAACCAGAATTAGTTTGTAAAAATGGTGCCACTGCAGTGATGTGGAACTAGTTTGGTGTTTATCCGTCAGTTTCCACACAGAAACAATGGGTAGGATGGTTTGTCAGGTAGGATGGATTCCCAGAACACCGTATTTGTTGGACTAAGGTGCTCATAAATCTGGGAGTAATCTGGGTCCTAAACTCTGTCCGTTTCATGTCCCAAAGTCAAACGAACACTGCAGCATCACTGAGAGAAAAACTGTCTAGATTCTTTCATCTTTAATAAAACGATCCGCATTGCTGCTTTACCAGATGTAACTATGAAGTTTAACATCCAGGCATCCATGAAAACAGAATTTATTACACTTAACGGAGTTAGAAGCAAGCAGGAAGTTAGCGGAAGTTAGCTCGCTAGTTTCGCTAGTTACCTAAGCATGACATAGCATGTTCTAACTGAGATTTCTGAAAAAATTCAAACGTACTGCTCTGCTATCACTTCCAACATAAATGAAGACAGGAAACGAAATAGCAGTGACGTTTGTAGGGTCACTGAAGTTGGGCTAGCTGGTATATAATGATGTGCTACGTGATCGCTAGTGACACAGCTATGTTAGCATAACATAAACAGTAAAGCTGGAGGAATCAACGCTAACACTTTTCCACTTGATAAAAGTTAACGTGAAGGTTCCTGATGGTTAGAGACAAATACAATGCTGTATAGGGACCAAACTTCAGTCAGGAGAACAACTGAGATAATCCATCCACAATAGAAGTCAGTCAGTAATATACTGCAAGAACACAGGAATAGAGCAGCTGTGATAGAATACAGCATTAACGAATCAATGGTACAGAAGTGGAGGAAGCAAGAAGAATGAGTTGAATAAAGTTTGATTTATCTGACTGCTTTGTTTCGCTTAACGTGCCTTATAATCCCGTGCACCTTATGGTCCGAAAAATACATATTTGACTTTTTTATTTGACACACCGCAGTATAATGTTGCAAAGCACCTCTTTTTAACTTCAGTGGATATTAAACATGGTTATGCTCAGGATATGTCAGCCCATTTCAACTGGAAATTCCTTTTGGTTAAACTTTCAGCAAGGAATTTGCATTTGCACTGTTAAATTTTTATATAGTTTTAATGCACATAAAAACAGCTGCTTGCTTAAGTGAAAATAAATGGATGGGGTTTTTTGGCACTAGCAAAGTTGTGGAGTTGTATTTTGTTTCGTATCAATTATATAGTCAGTTATATCGTTATCGCAAATTTTCAAATATATATCGTGATAAAGATTTCTGGCCATATAGCCCTGCTCTAATACTGGACTTTTTTTTCTACAAAGGTTTGAACTTTGAGAGTGTTTAAACAAAAGAGAAACGTGTGAAAATGTTCATGACTGTCTGAGAAAAGTGTACGAAGTGTGTAGTGACGGGTTTTACAGCCTTAAAACATCTATAATAATTGTAAAAAATAAAGTTGGCTACTTCGCGGATTTCACCTATCGCGGGTTATTTTTGGAAAGTAACTCCCGCCATAAATGAGGGACCGCTGTATTCCAGATGTTACAGGTAGATAGATGACGTGTCCAGGGTGTACACCATTTATCACAGGGCTAACACAAAGAGACAAACAACCGTTCACGTTCACATTCACACCAATGGCCAATGTAGAATGAACAGTTAACCCAAACTCGTGTCTATGAACTGAGATGTGGGGAGAACATGCAAAAGCCTGGATTTTTTGCCAGGGCCTTCTTGCTGTGACGCAATTGTGCCACAATACCACAGTGCCCTCCCAGTCTAAATGTACCAAATGTACAATGCACTGCATGTACCAATGCAGTGCATTGTAAATGTACAGACAGGTGTCCTTGTTGTTTGATGTTTGACAGTAATACTGAAGTGTGTGGTGCTCTTTGTCTGTTGGCAGCATTTTTAAATCTTTGTTGTTGTTTCTGGTCTTCAGTCACTCCATACGGCAACTTGTTTTTTTGTTTTTATTTTTATGTATAACCTTTAGTATCTTCATGTATGACATTTTTCCAAGATGTAACCTTTAAAGGACACAGGATGGTTTCAAATATGACACTTGAAAAAAAGCAAGTTAAAAAGTGTCAAAGTTTAATCCACCTTATTGTACTTAGAGTGCCACAGACAAGCTAAAACACCTTTTAAAGCCTCAAAGTATCACTTTGCGGCAGCAGTGATAATGAGGTGTCTTTGTTGTTGTTATTAGAGAAACCTAAAAGCCTCAAGCTGACCTTTCCACATATGCTGAGAGGTCTGTGGGTGGGTGCAGGGCCCTCTGTTTGTTAGCAGCTTGATATTCACAAACATAAGCCACTGAGAGTCATCATGTATGCAGTTACAACACAAGCCTATGGGTGTCTGCATGCGTGTCCCTTGCCTGTCTCTGACAATAGAACACACAATGCATGTGCTTTGTGTCTGTGGACACTATGGCTGAACCCCATGACCTCTTTAGAAAAAAGTGAAATTCGTGTTCTTTATGGTCACATGAGAGGCCCGTTTTTTTAAAAGGAGCAGCTAATAACTGCCAAAACAAATCACACACATTCACTTTGTTTCAAAGATCAATACATGAAGTCAGCTGCAGGCACGTGGCTCCAATTGGCAGCAGTCGGTGGTTCATTATACATACATCCTGTACACACACACACGCACGCACACATGTGCTCGCTTTCACTGATGCATGCACACATACACATTAGTCTGGTCTGAATGTACAAAGGGTGTGAGCAGCAGGCACAACAAGAAGTTCAAGATGAGCAAGGCATCATATGACCCAGCAGTGTGAAGGCACAGAGTTGAGGAGTAAGAACTACTGTCACACTCAAGGCCAACTTTAAAGCAGCTTTCAGACCCAGTGCGTTAGGTCTGTAGCTGACTTTTCAACTGAATTTACATTTTCTTACCAGTAAACTGTACCCACAGTTTGGAGCAGCTGCAGCTCATTTGGTGTATTTGAGAAAGACACTAAACCCGTTTCTTGACGAGATAATCATCTACAAACAACACTGTGTCTGCAGCTTTTGACTGATTGGCTGTCGTTCTATTGGGCAACAAGGCTGTGGCTCTACAGCAACGGTAACAGACAACTATTATTTGACCTTTGACCCAAAAATGACGACACTTTGTTTAGGCTTATCTGTGACTTCCGATAAACCGGTCCCTTTGGTCAGCTCTGCAGACTTTTAGACCCTTTACCCCCTCCACAGTAAATCAATTACCTATGCTCCCAAACATCATCATTGTCACACTGCTGATGATAATTAACAAGGGTGGTGCTGAATATTATCTCCAGTGTGACTGAGATTAGGATGAGCTGGATTGAATTTGAAGTGAATTAAACACGAGCAAATGTTTTAACTGTTCATTTTCTTGCTAAGGAACTCATGGGAGCTGGGAGAAGAGATTAGCAGCTTTGCTTTTCTTTGTCTGCAACAGAGAAACTGTGATATTTTTACATTTTTTTTAGAAATCCTGTAAAGACTTTGATGACTCATCCAACATCCCTGCAGTCAACCATCTGATTATGCCACGTCTTTGCCTCCTGCTTGGTATATTGTTGCATAGATTTATCCAGACATAAGCCATCAAGGGAACAACTATTCAGCAGGACCTGGTCTAATGTTTAAGGATTAATATTTTTCCGACCAAACACTTTCAAAGAACTCATCACTAAGCTCTGTTATTGATTATCCTAGATAAACAACTTGTTCCCCTAACACACCTCCAAGTGAGTAAGCCAATCCTCACACACCACAGGCCGACACGCCTACAGTCCACCTTCAAAGCCCTGACAGATCCTGGTCAAAGGCCTCTTTAAGGAGGAGTCTAATTGTCAAGCAAAGACAAGCCAGCACATCACTTCAAGGAGCATGCACACATGCTGCATGCATTAGTACTCCTCCTACTGTGGTGAATACACAGTAAAATACTCTGGGACATTCAGTGATGCCTCCGGGCATGAGCAATCTCTCAAGTGGAAATACAAACAAAATCCACAGGTCACAGAGTCACTAATTCACCCACTCTCTAACATGCATCCATGATAGCAAAATAAATGCGCAAACACACACACAATGTGATCGAGTGCTCACTTTCAGTCTTGTGTGATGTTGGCTTATCACAAATCCTGGAGGGGTAAAAGCAGCAAAGGTTAGATGGCAAATTATCCTGATGTGTTCCTTCAGTCATAAAGACATGAAATTATATTTGTGTCATGAGTGCCAGCAAATAACTTCATTATCCAGTATCAACTATCAGGTCAAACGAGATTTTTCAGCAGGTAACAGAACAGCTGTCAAACAGGAAGAGTCACAGTAAGGTGAAACTGTTTCCAGGAACTCCTTAAAATAGTTTGGGAATATGTAAATCTGTTACAATAAATGAAGACTGCTACAGTGTCTCAACTCTTACTTCAAAATGGTCTCTTTTTTAGTTTTCATACAAAAAATGGTCTTAACAAATTCAGTTTTCATGCTTAGTGTCATTTTCTTTTCAAAATAAAAGCATCGAAAATACAGTGAAGGGGTGACTGTTGCCCGCGCGTTTATCGTAACTTAAACAGCAAGCAAAACACTTTTAAAACAAAAGAAGTTAGAATAAAGCAGACACACATTTAAATCGCAGAAACACTAGAAAGCCGCGATAACTCACTTTCGTATGACTCCCAGTAAAAGGCACGACATCTTTGGTTTAAAAGTTAAACTAGCTTATATTAAAAAAAAAATCACAGTGTAAAAAGGCACATAAAAGCTAGCTGAGAGGGAGACACGAGGAGCAGCAGTCGCTAGAGTCGGTCAGAGCTCATATCTGTACGTGCACTGAGGGGACCTTGCACTTTGCTCAACGTGTACATTTACACGGAGACACCTCCACACCGGCAAACTGGATGTCCCCGCGAGTCCTCCGCCCGTCTGCCGCTTTGTACACTCAACTGTGACCGGCCGACTCACATCTGGGGGAGGCGCTTCCTCTGGAACAATTAAATATCCTATAGGTTACTTCTGTCGTGCCCATTTATGTTCGGCTGCTGTTTTGTCCCCCCTCCTGGATGATGCAAGTTTTCACAGTGCTTGAGTACAAACAGGCACGGAGTACCAGCGTGGAGGGGAGTAACCGGAAGTTCGAGCGAGGGCGCGGAAATACATTCTCACCGATTCTCACTTCGTTTAGATGGGAGCGCAAGACTTATGGAAAGGATGTAAACCTCGGGTGGCAAACATACGGACCGCGAGCCAGAATCAAGACTCCAATCCGGCCAATTGGAGGAGTTTGGAAAATTTGATGCAGAACATACATTTTTGAATTTTAACTGTATTTTCACAAGTTTAACAGTTTTCCCCACTGATAAATACCTCCACCATGTCCATTCATACTACAAAAGTAATTACTAATAGATTTATTACATATTTATTTCACAAAGAGTGATGTTGGCATATTTCATTCATTTAATAAAGCAGTATTTGTTTATCACGTAGATAAACTGAGATGTACTATTGAAATTGTGCTTCTTCTTGTTATATTAACGTAATTGATTTGGTTTGTATCCAAATTTCTGTACACTGACAGAACATAAGATCAGCATGAGCTGTATGTGACCCACCATGTAAAATGAGTTTCACATTCCTGGTGTAAACCTGTGGAAGTAGCCTACACAAAACTGAGAATGAAAACTGAAAACAACATAAAGAAAAACAACTGCAGAACGCCCTAAAGGTAAACTGCTGATGCTGGAAATAGGTTTCAAATGACAGCTCATTTCTCACGAGGCCAGGCACCTTTAGTTTTCCTACATATATAAGGCTTTCCACGGGCCCACTCGATCGATTATAAATGGAGAATGGGTGGAATCTTCTCCACCTCTTGGGTGTCTGGGCACCCATATCTCCGCTGATCTCACTTGGACCCACAACACCAACGGCCACTCACCTGACTAATCAGAGCCATGGTTAGAGAAACCCCATAACTCAGGCCACTCACACTCGTTGTACATGTACAATGACAATAAAGGGCTATTCTATTTTTTTCTATTTTTTCTATTCTAATCACATTTTTGGAAACATGAGTTCAGCTTCATGAGCCACACCCAGGCCTAATTACTGCCAGGCTGGTTGAATCAAGATTTTTTTTAAAAAGACTAGAAAGGTGAAGTAGGCTAAAAGATCTCAAAACGCAACACATCACACCAGGATCTAAAGAAACAGCCAATAAACAAAGTCACTGGCATCTGCCGGTCTGGAAAGGGTTACAAAGCCATTTCTAAGGCTCTGGGACTCCAGTGAACCACACTGAGCTGGACTGAAAAACAACACAAAGGCACTAACCATGCCAGCACAGGAACAAGGTATAAGCACAAGATTGATAGACATTAAAGATTCTTCTGAGACAATCCAGCAAATAACAGCAGGGTGCAAGATGCTAGCAGGCAGGACCATAACCAAGTCATAATATGCAGGAACATCTGTACTGAGTGTGGCCTGGAAGTCCCGAGGTCAAAATGGGAGACCTTTTGACTTTTGGTGATTTTGAATAACTGAGCTAAGATCCTGTGGGACTTCCAGATACAGATGGACAAAATAATGATGGCTAACCAACCGGACATATTAGTGGTGGACAAGCAGAGGAAGACGGCTGTAGTGATAGGGTTAGAAATGTAGCAATACGAAAAGACAGCAACATCAGGAAGAAGAAACATAAGAAGCTTGAGAAACACCAAGGGCTCAGAGGAGAGCTCGAGAAGATGTGGAGGGTGAAGGCAACAGTGGTTCCAGTGGTATGGTGGTGTAATGACCCCCCAGAACTGGCCAAGTGGCTCCAACAGATCCCTGGAACATCCAAGATTTCCGTCCAGAAGAGCACAGTCCTAGGAAACAGATACTGGGCAGCACCCTCAAGCTCCCAGGCCTCTGGTAGAAGACTTTTTTTGAAGGATAAAGACCTCCCACAATGGTCCATGTTAAAGTAAAGAACCATTGTAGGAAATAAAGAAAAGCCATAACCTTTCAGGCTGAAAACCTGACACTCGGTAATTAACTTTCTGTCAGCATTGGTGAATACAAAGAGCAGTTAGCAGGTTTGAGATTCAACACCCTGAAACAGGGCACAAAATTGGATTTCATTCAAACCAAGAAGTGAAAATCATCACATCATTTGTCTCTGAAAGAAATGTAAATGAAAGATTTGCAGATATGACTTTATAATAAATGTTATTTGAGTGGTGCGACAAATTCAAAGCTGCTAAGTTTTTAGGTTTTATTTATAATGTTTAATGGAATATGGCTGTAATTATCACTTTTCACTACACCGATCATATTTATAAGACACGGCACAGCTGTAGACGTTATCCTGTTACATTTCCCTCTCTCTGGGAACTTACACACACACAAATGAAACTGTGAGACAGGGGCAAGTAAAAGGGTGGGGTTGGACACTGGGAGATAAAGAGAGACACAGCAATCCAATATATCTGGTTAAACTTCACCCCTCATGTCTCATGTTGTCTGATAGGGCTTGCAGAGTCAGCAGACAACTGATATAACACACACACACCTTTCCTGTGGATTACAGGTATGCTCTCCCCATGCAAACACAAAACCATTTCAAGTTGTGACATCTGTAACATGCTAGAAGCACGGCATCTCGGAGCTGCAGCATCAATTGTATGTGCACACGAGTGTGTTGTAACGTCTGTCAGGCCCATTTTGTCCTGCTAAGGTGTTTTCATCATGTTGTTGTGGCCCAAAAGCCTCACCAGTAAACTCAAAGTCCAAAAAAACAAGGATAGGCTGGGATGATGGTGTGGTTTCTTTTTTAGGGTTGTGGGGGGATGGCAAAGTAAATTAAGAAAATTACAATGATTTATTTGAAATCGCTGAAAACATAATCCTTTACTCTTCTCAGTCTGCATAAATAATGGTTTGCAAGAACTTCAAAGGCTCAGCGCTGCATGCTTTCTTTCTGACACACATACACCATTAGTGTTAATATGACAGGTCTGTAAATAAAGTCGTTTACATCACGCCAGCCACTCATGAAGCCACCTCTCTCTTTCTACACTCCTGTTCAGTCGCATGAACTTTGTCTGGATCATTTCTCAACGTCCTCCCCAAACTGAATAACACAGTGCAGACCTTTAATCGCTCACCCAGTCAAAATCAAAGCTGCAATAGCTAATGGAGTTCAGTCGAGTGCAGCCGCCCTTTGCTCTGAACTGTCACCTCGTGTCTGCTGAGTGATTGTTTTTCTAGTGTTACATTTTATGGTGCCATATACTACAGGTGAAGAGAAAACAACTACATAGTTATGTACGCTCCAACACTCCAACAGTGGGCAGGAAATAAGAGAAGGATTTAACAGAGTAGTTAAAGCTGTGTGGTGTTTTTACTGTCTTTTTGTCATTAGACGTGATAGGTTTACCTGATAATGTCCCAACTCAGAGTGTGCTGGCACAGGATGACCTGTAGTTGGACGGTATCCTGTTTACAATGGGAGGCTCTGACGTGTCGTCTCTTCACTCAGGTATCTTTATTTGCTTTACTCTTTACAGCAGCCCACGCCTCTGTCCACACAGCTCCTGATGAAAGAGCTATTGTAACAGCTGAATATTGGTGTAGCAGCAGAGACGCTCACCTATCAATAATGAGTAGTGCTCTTTTTCTTTCTTTCTTTTCAAAAGTTTGTCACTTTTCCTTTTATTCCTGTAGTTTAATCCAGAAAAGATTTAAAACATAAAATCAAATCTTAGAAGCATCTTTCAGGTTCATTTGAGCTTTATTTAATGATTTGATGTAGATTTTTCATGGCTCTAGGAACTTTTAGAAGGCCAGAATCCTGAGATCAGAGAGCACGGGGTGGAACATAAAGGTGCAAAAGGTCAGAGAGTTATGAAGGTGCCAATCCATTTAAGACCTTGTAGGTGAGCAGCAGGACCTTAAAATCTGTTGAACCTGACAAGGTAGCATATGAAGAGGTCTCAGTACAGGGGTAATGTGCTCAAATTTCCCAGTTTTCATTAAAATGCGAGCAGCTGCATTTTGCACCATCTGTAAACCTCTAAAACTTTTCTTTGGTAGCCCAGAAAGAAGAGCGTTACAATAATCGATACATGAAGACACAAATGCATGGACAAGAACCTCTGCAGTGTCGCTTGACAAAACGTCTTTAAATGATAAAAGGCGGTCTTTGTTGTCTCTTTTACATGAGACTCGAGGAGAGCACCCTGTCAAACCACACGCCCAAGTTTTCAACCTTGTCCCTGCAATTTCAAGTTGAAATTTTGGGATAAGTACTGAAATTTTTGTGGTCCAATGACCATCAACTCTGG